AAAATAAAATTTTGGGGGGGATTTGGGGAGAAATTTGGGATTTATTTACAATTTTTATGGCTGAGGTTGTGGGGGAAAGGGGGGAAAAGACCCAAAAAAGTGACAAAAAAAAAAAAAAATCGCCCAAAATTCACCCAAAATTCCCCAAATTCACCCAAAATCCATCCTGGGGTCCAGCAGCTCCTGGGGGATTTTTTTGGGAATTTTTAAAAATTTTTTGGGAATTTTTCAAAATTTTTTTGGGAATTTTTCAGGAATTTTTTGGGAATTTTTACAGAATTTTTTGGGAATTTTTACAGAATTTTTTGGGAATTTTTACAGAATTTTTGGAGATTTTTTGGGATTTTTTTTTTGGATATTTAAAGAATTTTTTTGGCAATTTTTTGGAATTTTTGGGGATTTTTAAAACAAATTTCTTGGGAATTTTTTGGGAAGTTTTGAAGATTTTTTTGGGGGGGAATTTTTATTTTTTTTTTTTTTTTTAATTTTTAAAGAACTTTTGCCCAATTTTTTTGATTTTTAAAGAATTTTTTTTTTAATTTTTAAAGAATTTTTGGGCTTTTTTTTTATTAATTTAAAAAGAATTTTTTGGGGAATTTTTTGGGATTTTTGGGGGGAATTTTTGGAATTAAAATTCGATTTTGGGGGGATTTTGGGTGGCTCAGACCTGCCTGAATTTTGGATAAATTTGGACGAATTTTGGGTAAATTTTGGAGGAATTTTGGGTGGATTTTGGATAAATTTTGGGGGATTTTGGGTGGCTCAGACCTGGCTGAATTTTGAATAAATTTTGAATAATTTTGAATGAATTTTGGGTGGATTTGGGGTAAATTTGGATAAATCTGGGCAGGTTTGGGCAAATCTGGATGAATTTTGGGTAAATTTTGGGTAAATTTTGAGTAGATTTTGGATGAGTCACACCTGGATGAATTCTGGGTGGGTTTCAGGTAAATTTTGGGTGGATTTTGGGCACACCTGGGTGGATTTTGAGCACACCTGGATGAATTTTGGGTAAATCTGGGTAGATTTGACCAAACCTGACCAGATTTTGGGTGGATTTTGGGCACATTTGGGAGGATTTTGGGTGGATTTGAGCAAACCTGACCAAATTTTGGGTGAATTTGAGCACACCTGGGTGGATTTTGGGTGAATTTGGATGGATTTTGAGCACACCTGACCAGATTTTGGGTGGATTTGAGCACACCTGGATGAATTTTGGGTAGATTTGAGCACACCTGGGTGGATTTTGGGTAGATTTGAGCACACCTGACCAGATTTTGGGTAGATTTGAGCACACCTGGCCGGATTTTGGGTAGATTTGAGCACACCTGGATGAATTTTGGGAACATTTGGATGGATTTTGAGCACACCTGACCAGATTTTGGGTAGATTTGAGCCACACCTGGCTGGATTTTGGGTGGATTTGAGCACACCTGGGTGGATTTTGGGTAGATTTGAGCACACCTGGATGAATTTTGGGTGAATTTGGATGGATTTTGAGCACACCTGACCAGATTTTGGGTAGATTCGAGCACACCTGGGTGGATTTTGGGAACATTTGGGTGGATTTTGGGTGGATTTTGAGCACACCTGACCAGATTTTGGGTAGATTTGAGCACACCTGGCTGGATTTTGGGTGGATTTTGAGCACACCTGGGTGGATCTGGGCACACCTGGGTGGATTT